ATCCATCCTAACAAACCACACATCAATGGAAAGCTTATTTATTCAGCTTTCAGATAATGTATAAATCTCAATTTCGAAAAATTGACACTTAAGACTGGTTTTGTGCTCCAGGGTCACATTTTTGTTTATTATAGTTTTTTTTTTTTTCATGATAATTAAGCACATTTCCCCTTCAAATTATCATTGCTGTAACTTGAAATAAAATAAACATTAGATTAAATTAAATATTTTTAAAAACCTTATTTTATTTCAGCTAGCTGCCAAAGCAACATTTCTCATTTTCATTTAGTTAAACTTGATGTACTAAAATAACTAAAACTAACTAAACTATATAGGCATATTAAAAAAACTAAAAACTAATAAAAATGACAATTTTTTATTTTTATAGTTATTTGTTATTGTGACAATTGAGGTAGGAAAGGGAATGACAATTAATCACATTTGCCCTTCAAATTCTCATTATTGTAATCAAGGTTATTATAGCTAACTAAAACCATAATTTTTTTTACTTGAAATAAAATTAAACGTTAAATTAAATTAAATATAAAAAAATTTAAAAATTAAACTAGTTTTATTTCAGCTAGTTATCAAGGAAACATTTTTATTTAATTTAACTTGATGTACTAAAATAGCTAATATCAAAAAAAAAAATGTAAATCTGAACATTTTAATTTTGAATTTGCTTTTTTAAATTAAATGAATAAATTGAAAAATTAATAGCAGTATAGCAAATGCTGCCACAATATATAAATTCAGATATTTGTAGTCAAATGAAAAAAAAAAAATTAGGAAATAATTCATAATAAACTTTTAACATTACATTAATGGGATTTTTTTTTTTTTTTGCATTACGGTAATGAGAAAATGTGCTTAAATACTATGATGAATTTTTAGTACCAAAAAGTACAGTACATACAGTACCATAGTAAGTGTCATATCTTGCAAATTTTTATTTTTGCGAGCTACAACAGTGTGCAAGTACTGTTTATGTAAGTATATATGCAGTAAATACCATCGTACATGAATATGACAATATTCCTAACAAACCATACATCAATGGAAAGCTTATTTATTCAGCTTTTTTTTTGTTCTCCCTTAAGGTCACATCTTGCCTTTGCTTCATAAGTCACAGTGAATTCCAGTGTGTTTGTGGCTAAATGTGAGGGTCGTAAATGTGTCCCGGCGCGTCTGTCTCTTCACAAACAGAGCGCAGCGAGTGTGTCATTAATTACTGCCCCGCTGCTCTGCGCTCTTTAGTCTTCGCAGGACGTTTGCACCTTTCTCTGAAGGCTTTGAAGCTCCTCACCTCCCGCTGGCTGCTGAAGACATGCACTCGTTCCCTTTGTTTGCTCGTTAGTTTCTGTTTGCTGACGAGCCAATGATGAGTTTCGCTGCAAATCAACAGATAACACAAAGCGGCCGCTTGTCAAACACTCGCCATTGTTCCAGTGCCTTTCCAGAGCATCTCATTATTTGATGTTCTTCTCGAGTTAAATGCTCGGGTTTTCTACATCATAAAGTAGTAATTAGGTGTTTAGCAGATCATTTTATTAAAGCTGGGGTTTATGCTGAATGGTGTGGCATGTTGGAAATTGTCATAATTACAATTTTCCGACTGTGAAAATCTCTATTGAACTCTTTTGTTATAAAGCTTCTTCCTCTTGCCTTTTGTGGCATCATCAGCACTACTTTAGGATTACTTAAGTACTATTTTATTTGACTATTTAAGTACTATTGTTTTTTTGTTGTTGAGGTTTCGTCATTTTCATTGTTTATTTTTTTTGGTAATATTTCTGTTTTGGTTTAATTAAATTGTAATATTATTTTTTATTTTAGTGCTAAAACTTTAACCAAAAATTAAAACGAAAACATTATAAAAATAAAAAGTAATTTAAATTATGAATAAAAACTAAAAATACTAAAATAACACTGAATGTAATAAATCTGAAGATTTTGATAATGACAGCTTTTGTCATTTGTATTAGTTTTTTTTTTTTTGTGTACATTTCCGTTTAGGTTTAATTAAATTGTATTATTATTTTTTTATTTCAGTGCCAAAACTTTAACCAAAAATTCAAAAGAAAATGGAGATTGTAAAAAAACAAAAAAACTAATTGAAATTATGAATAAAAACTAAAAATACTAAAATAACACTGACTGTAATACATGTGAACATTTAAATTTTGAGTTTGTTTTTTAAATTAAATAAATTGAAAATTGAAAGCATTATAACCTACCACAGTGTATAAATTCAGATATTTATAGGCAAATAAAATAAAAATAAATAATTAAATAATTAATAATAACTTTGGCAATGTGATTCTTTGCATTACGATAATGAGAATCAGGAGGGAAATTTTGCTTAATTATCATGATTAATTTTTATTACCAAAAAGTACAGTTTGCCAAGGCGCCATTTCTAATTTTCATTTTGTTTAAGTTCTTGTTGTCTAGTGTTTATATTTTATATGATTTTAGCTTTATTTCAATTAACAACAATTTTTAATACTTAGTATTTAATATTTTAGTGCTTCATCTTATTTCAGTTAGTTGCAAAGGCAACATTGGAAAGAAGTCAGACTTGCGAGGAAAAAAGTCAGACTTGCGAGGAAAAAAGTCAGGCTTGCGAGGAAAAAAGTCGGACTTGCGAGAAAAAAGTCAGACTTGCGAGGAAAAAAGTCAGTCATTTTAATTAAAAAAACACAATTGATTTGGAAGGAAAAGCAGCATTAGTACTGTATAACGTAACATTAATACTGTTTAAACTCCTATCAGAGGCCAAACCAGCATCGAGCGGCTTGTGTTTACAGTGACGGTAAAGACGGCTGATGATCTGATCACGTTCTCCTCAGGGCTCCTACTTCATGGTGCAGGACGTGTTCAGCAAAGCAGATGTCCTCAGCACCAGCGGCTCGTACGGAGCGCCCAACTTCCGCCAGAGCAAAGGCAGCTTCCCGCTCTACGGCATGGGCCAGCCCAGCCTGAGTGGCTTCAAACAGGTCCTCCAGAGACTGCAGGGTCAAGGCCATCAGGTCAGTGCGTGGAAATCTCCAGCAGCTGTGTTGAGCTTCCATTAAGAGAAAGCGATGTGCAAATAATGCTGCTGATAAGGTATTTGTCGAGTCATTGAAGCAGATCCGGCGCTGATGTTAAACCTGGTGTTGATTCAGCTAAATGCACTTTACTCCTGTTTGATGAGTTTAAATAACTGTGAGGATTACTGATTTGTTATGAGCTGAGTTTTAATTTGGCCTGATTTCTGTGCGTTTGCTCTCAAAAGGAGGTGCTTTTCTTCTGTTTGCGTGAGGAGCCCATAGTGTTCCTGCGTTTGGAGGGAGACTTTCTTCCCTACACTCCCCGGAGGAAGGAGAACCTTCATGAGAACCTGCATGATCTCGGACGCGACGCTCGCTCGGAGAATCTAGAGCTCACCATCAGAAAAGAGGTCTGGAGATGAGACTGAATGAACTGATGTGAATGTAGAGCAGTACGGTCAGCAGAACTGAAAAACATTTACGGGTCAATGACATGACAATCACTTCCTTTATTTGGAAAACATAAAAAAATATAGACAATTACCTGAATGAATATTTGAACTTCTGAATTAAAAATATTTTTGATATGATATAACTTTTCTGAGATCAGAAACAAATGGTTAACTTTATATAATATAATATAATATAATATAATGTAATGTAATGTAA